ACAGCCTCCCTGAAGTCCTGAGCAATGGAGGTGTAATCCTTGTTGGTGATAGCCCCTTGTTTCCATTGTTTGTACACCTCCTTTTTTGCCCTCAGGCATCCCTGGATGCCTTTGCTGAGCCATGGGGGCTTCTTAGCACTCCTCCCCACCTTGGTGTGCATGGGGACTGACTCCCTTTGAGCTCAGAGGTCATCTCCTAAGAGAACAACCACCCGTTTTGGACTCCCATCTCATTGAAACTCTGAGACCCCAATGCCTCTCCCACTAACCTTCTTAGCTTACAGAAGTCAGCCCTCCTGAAGTCAAGGACCTCTGCCTTGCTGCTTGCTTTTACCACCTCTGTGCTGGATAGTAAATTCTAGCAGGCAATGATCACTGTCACCCAGGTGGTTGAGTACCTGCAGACCCCTCACCAGGTCGTCGCCTGTGGCAAGGACCAAGTCCAGCAAGGCATTTCCCCTGGTGGAACTATGCATTTCACCTGGTGGGTTAACATTAATGCTGCAGTCAAGATTCACATGGCATGTGACAAACTAGAAAAACTAACTCTTAAGCTCCCGACAGATGTAAAAGTAAGGTTGAATGCACAATAGGATCTGATGGGGGATCCCAACAGTTGCATTTCCTGGGATGCCTGCATCAGATTCCCCTGCACCATATTATCAGTGCAGAGGGAGCCTGCTCCCAGGCTCCCCCTACACTGGCAAATAGGTTTCCAGCTGCAGGAGCACACTATGCACTCCCCAGGCTGGGAGACCCATCAGCTGAATGGGGCTTTCCACTGGGGAAACACACTTGATCAGCTGATGGGGCTCCCAGCCCTGGGAGCCCATGGTGTCCTCTCTCAGCTGGAAGACCTGATCAGCTGAGGGGCCTCCCAGCCTCTGGAACACATAGGAATCTTGACGGGCTCCTGTGGCCCCCAGAGGCTGGGCACTGGCCTTATGTTCAGTTCCAGGTGTGATAAGAATCAGTCACAAAGTTATTACACATCTTTTGTAACATGTATGTAAAATATACTCAAAGTTCAGAGTGAATTTAGGCGTAGAGTTGTTTGCCATCTTTTGTCCCTGTGTAGTTATTTGCATCATAGGTAACAGCCCAAGAGAGAAAACAGACATTGAAGAGAGACTTTGCCTTTCCTTTCTGTGCATAATTTCTCTTTCCTCCTCCCATTACACCCATTACAGTACATCAGGGTACATATGTTATATCAGTTTGGATACCAAGCCATTCACCCATCCTAAAAGCACTTCCCCCCCTCTTACAGTACCACTACTAAAGACCAGACTCACAGTTTTCTTCCTTTGAAACCCCTTATTCTGGGCTCATTTCATACCGGTGACTGACTCCTTTATGTAAGTTTGCAATGTAGTAGATTCTAACATGCAGAACACAAGTGGGGAGAAAGCAAATTGATAAATAAAAAGCAAGAACATTTATTAAAAAATTTCCTGAGTCATTGTCAAGTAGTTCCAGATCTACTGCAGTTCCAGTCTGCGGTTCAACAGTAGCCTTCACCATTGCACCAAGAACAGGCAAGAAAGCTTGGCTAACTTCTGCATAAATAACTGTTGGACTAGGGACACTGTTTGTATCCTTATTCATGTGAGCTCTCACAGTCACTGGAGGCACATCCAAAGATGTTGCTTGAGAGGTTACTGTCATTGATATGACTTGAGAGGCTGTATATGTATTTTGAATCTGATAATACCAATCTCCCCACTGCAAATCAAATATAAAGAATATTATAAGTTTATTATGAGAACTTAGTATAATATAAGCAGCCTTGTTCCTCTTAGATAATCATATATTATATTAGATTAAAGGAGAATTTCAGTGGCACAAAGAACAGTTAGAGTTAGGGTATCACTACAAGGCCAAATCTGAGACCATTTGGATACCTTGGCCAGAGCTGTTAACATTTTAAAACATTTGGATTACTTTTAATTTCAAATTTAGAGCTGATTTATTTTTTTAGGTTTTAGGAATTCTCTCATTCGTGGAACGGTTTGTGTACTTAAAGTTACAGATATGAATGCTCAGCCTTAACTTCACCTTAATGTAGTAGTGTGTTTGTGCAGAAATCTTATATATTTGATAGGAGTGCAGTGGCAGGAAAGGTGTCAAAAAGTGGGAGTTTAGGCATTTTAGTCCATGAAAGGTATTAAAGAGTTCAGACACAAAAAGAGAGAACTTGAACTTTACCTCTGCAGTGTCTGCTACAGTGAATTGAGCTGTTTGGAGGTTTGTATCACTAATGGTAAAGTCAGAATGTCCATATTCTTTTCCATTAGGGTCCCTGAGAAAAATGTGTGGTAAAGAGCCACTCCACATAACTGCAAAGAAGGTGTCATTTCCTACGGTGCTGTCAACTGTCACTGACACTTTCATCCACTGACTAACTACAATTTGTAGAGCTTTGCTTTCAAGCTGTCAGACAAATTAATTATGATTTATGGTTAGATAGTAGGTAAATACTTAAAATAAAAATAATTTTCATCTTACTAAGATGAACAACTCTGATATTATGGCTATTTAGAGGGAACCCTGAGTGGGTAAAGGGACTCTGTCCCACTGCTGGAGGAGGGAACACAACAATATGAGTAATGTTACAGCTGGTGGCGATGTGTAGGGAGTGCACATGCACCCCCTGAGAGCGCCAGTGCACCCCCTGTCAGGCAAGGCTACCCACTTAGGTGACAGGCAGGTGGGGAAGGTGGAAGCACTGGTGCCCCCCCTGCAAATGCTGGCCAAGGAGTGGGAGCGCCAGATGAAGCGGTGCTCCTGGCAGTGAAGCAGAAGAAGCGGAAGTGGAAGCGGCACTCCCATGGCTGCTTCCAGGTGAGTGGAATCAGCCGCAGGCCCCACCCCCAGTTGCTGGGAGGGCATGTTTCCCCCTGACTAAGGTGGCACCAGTTGCCCATGCTTACAGCCCTCTTGGTGCTATCATGAGAGGTCCCATGTTCTGCGCAGAACTGAGTTGTCTGGAGAGACAGAAGACCTTCTGTGTCTACCGCTGTTTCTACCTTCAAGGGAGATCAGCAAGGGAGGAAGAGCCACAGTCATCACAGGATCAAGGATTACCTTGATAAATCTCTCTTAATTGACTAGTAACATGGAGAAAAAATAGCCTATTAACATGGGGAAAAAATAGCTTTGAAACTCAGACCTGGATAGAGAGTTGAGAAACTCTCTTAGACAGAGTGCAGGACCTCCCTCTAACCCAGGAGGTGCATAGCCCACCAGGGGAGACGACTTGTTGGACCTAGTGCTGGCCACGGGTGATGACCTGGTGAGGGGGCTGCGGGTGCTCGACCACCTGCGTGACAGTGATCATCGCCTGCTGGAATTCACCATCCAGCACAAGGTGGCAAAGGCATGCAGTAAGGCAGCGGCCCTGGATTTTAGGAGGGCAAAATTCAACGAGCTAAGGAGGATAGTTGGGGAAGCACTGAGGTCCCGGAGGGGAGGGGAGACAGGTGTCCAAGGAGAGTGGTTGCTCCTCAA